AGAATGATTAAGACCGGACCACGCAGAGCACTAGTGCATACACATTGTACTAGCCGAATTACTCGTATTAGATCGAGTGTAAAATATTCGTGTATCACCCGTACAATTGAAACAAAAATATACCGTTGAATCAATATACATTGTTTGAATAAATCGATCGTTAGGATTGAGATTGATCCGACCGGTAAGTTGTTTAGTCGATTTTTAAAGAAAAAAAACATATTTAAATGGTATGCGTGCAGCACGAGGATAGAAATGTATACGAAATCATCGTCAACGTTACTGGTCAAACAGTGATCGCAGAAAAATCGATTTTTTAGAGTTTTTTAGAAAAATTCCATAGGGTGACGCCGTGGACATCATCAAACGTTGACGTGCAACACAAGTACACACGTATTCGACTATATGCGTTATATGAACGCGAGTGCGTAAATACGTGGTCCGCCGTGCCGGCGCTAGGAGAGGACAAATGGGATATTTGTCCAGGGCCCTGCGCTTGTTAAAGGACCCCGTGATTTTCAATTATCATCTTAATACCGTGAGACACATTGACATTTTATATTAACAAATTATAAGTCTATATTATGCTTATCACCAGTTATTTTGAAAACGATACCTAAATGTAGCCATAGTACATACTACAAAGCAAAACGTTATCGATACGACGAAAGCGTAATATTTCGACGGTACCCTTCAAGTAGGATTCCTACAATATAAATAATAATATTAATATTTCAATCAATCCCCCATAAAAAAAACCTGGCTACGTACGCTACTGGTACACGCTATAACAGCACTGTGTATTAAATAATAAAACAATGAATAAATATGTAGTTATATTGTTTTTTCGTCGTTTTACCTCTTGAGCTTTTCAATCGTATATTTTTCTTTCTTTGTTTCTTAACGATTTTTCGCCCTATTCATCATAACTGCTCACGTATACATATGTGCACATTGAGTAAGCAAAAACAATACCGAAAGACAATACAATACGTACACAAGTTAACAAATAACCTAATCGATAGTCCAATGAGAGTGACAAAGTAACAATGTGAATCGATTAACGATGCTATAGTGTAAGGTAGCATGTATTAGTGTAATCGGTAAACCAGGTGTATTTTTTTAAATAGTTGATTTTGTTAAGATAATGGTTGCAAAAATTCCAAGTGGATTAATAGTTGACGTGCAACCTATAATGAACATTCACAATATAATTTCGATTGCCCAAACATTACGTCTAAATCATAAAAATGTCTATATTCAGACATTCGTCTGCGTAAACAACATTTAAGGGAGCACCACTGGTTATAAATGTATGATTTATAATGCTTTATTAATCACCGCAATGTATTATTGAACAACTCGACGTTTCGTTGAACAATATTTGCTAATCGAATGATAGTAAAAATAATTAACAAAATCTTATATTAAAATCACAGTAAATGGTTGGCCACTTGCAACAAGCAAAAAACAGATGTTTGAATATTTTTTTTCACATAGGAACCAATTTGATATTTTCGAATCCGTAAATTATTTATATAGCACTTCATATTTTTCTTTACAAACATTTTGAAAATTTTCAGAAAATTACACCGCAACAAAACATGAATTGGCTATTGAGTATTGTGCTTACCGTTGGTGCAACAAAAATAGTTTTGGCATTATTGAACGAATTGCATAACCCAAACAAAATGTATGAAATTGAAATGTTGAGAATTGAACATGAAACGAAACAGTTTGAAATACTGAAAAACGCAGAAGTAAAAATAGCGTTAATTAATGCAGCTATGAAAATAACTGAGCGTCACTGAGATAAGTATACTAAGATGAGATAATATAGATGTTAACACTGAATAACATTTTCCTAAGAATATATTCCAAAGAACTGTACCATTTTTATTAAGATATTTCATTATTTTTGTTACTATTTTATCGGTATTTTAGTTTTATTTGTATTTTTTTTAAGATGACTCCATATTCGCATGTGTTGTATCCGTCTGACATACGTACAACATGTTTGCGTAAATATTAGAGTTAACTGACCCATAATCAAACTTTAAGGGAAGAACATTATCTGTTTTTTGTTGATCGGTCTTTCTGATGATTTTATTTTTGAAGCAAATCATAGGTTATTTTAATTTAATATCTTACATACTTTTAACACACTTTAAAATTAAAATATTGGAAAAACCGAACAACAAAACACAGATTCACTTAAAGTTTGACTACAGGTCAGTTTTCTCTAATACTAAAGCTAACATCACTACATTTGACCTACTAAATGAACATTTTATATGTTGTACGTATGTCAGAAGGAGACAAAACGAATGCGGGTGTAGCGTCCTCTTAAAGAAAATACAAATTCAACTAAAATATCTATGAAATAATAACAGAAATAGAAAAATATCTTAATAAAAATGATCTAGTTCTATGGAATATATTCTTGGGAAGATGTAATTCGGTGTTAAGAGGCCACTACACTTGTATAAATTCATTGAAATAAATTCATATAAGCTACAATAATTGGTTTTAAAACGAAAAAAGTGCTTTTTGTTGGAATACGCAATAAATATTGCTGTATTTGCCAAAAATCGAAAAACAATCAAGAAGTCGCATCTGACCATCAATGTTTTCTCAATTGAAAAGAGTCCTCAACATGTATAGAGGCGGATGGTGTGCTTGAAGGATTTACGAAAATCAAGGAAATGCACGGATTAAATTATAATTGTTTTATAGGTAAAAAAATGTAATTAATTACCCGGTCAAAATAAAAATTATAGCATTTGAAATGTAACAGGTGACGGGGACAGTAGTGTGACAAAACGTTTGAATGAAATTCAGCCGTATGGTCCCAATTTTCACATAAAAAAATAGAATGCCGAAATCATATAATGCACAACTATGCAACAAAACTTACGGCAGCAATAACAGAACATAGCATATTACTGAGCAATAAATAGAAGACATTGTAAACGACAACAATTGAAGCAAATCGATACTGTTTAGTTGTCAGTAAATAGAGAATAGCTTACGAAAGAATACTAACGTTGATTTCCAATGAAAACCAAATTGAATCGAGATGTGTCTTAACGGTCGTTTAGCATGCAAGGTTGGAAAATGGAACCTAATTCTTAAAAAGATTTACTAGAAACTTTGCAGATGAGTAATACATTAGATTCATTGATCAGCATGTTTGAACTTTCAATATAAAAATTTTAAACAGTTCTAAACATTTTTTTCGTGGCTATATATTTAAAAAATTCGTGCAAGGGAGAATACAGCCATTTCAACCTCATCCAAAATCTTACATCATCTCGACTTTCAAATTCTTATCATACGAACAACAATTATTTTTAATTCTAAACTTGTATTATCTGTAAATCCGAACAACATTTTTAATTGTATATTTAAATATATTTAATCTCTCCGACATATTTTTATCAACTATTATATTATTGTAATCAGTGCCGTAACTAGACCACTCAAGGCCCGTGTGCGAATCAAAACGATGAGGCCCTTAATCCTCAAACGTTTCTGATAATTTTACCGTTTGGGGCCCCAAAATAAATAGGACGCATATAAACTCCGCCACAAGTATCTTTTTGTTACTGTAAGCTCCGTCAGAAAAAAAGCAAGTAAAATTAGGTTCATGTAAACTTTGAACCTCATTCAGTTGAATAGTCAGAGGAATATTTTATCATTTTTTCATCTAAGCCAGACCAGAGTTAAGTAACAAACTTGAATTTATAAATTTTTTAAATGATAAAATAATCTCTTAGTTCCCTAAATAATTATCTAAAAATAAAAAAAACATTTATAAAATATAACACAAGAACTAAAGGTATGATGTATCTTGTGTCATATGTATTTCAGATACTTGATCAGACACCGTACCGTACCGTTCCGCGAAATATTTTATTATGTGTTTTAATTTAAATGATTCACATTTGAATGTTTCCGTTCCATTACCCGTACCCATAACCCGTACGGGTTCTGTCCGGCATTCCTCGTGAGAATAATTGCGAGATTAGAACATTGCAAAGTGCAAACCATAGATGGGCCCCTCTGACCTACGACCTCGTTTTAAAAACGAACCTGAGCATAGGATTCGACGCCACTGCCAACGAGTGTCTGAATATGAACAATATTATAATTTAAACGGCGATGGTGGTGGTGATGGTGGCAGTGGTGGTGGTGGTGGTGGGAAAGGGTTGTTAATATTAAAAATACATTTTTATTTTTTTACAAACATTAAAGTTATTTAAGTAAATCGATATCGTCATAAGTACATAGTGTATCATAAATAATTACTTCGTAGTAATGCACTAATCGTTAGAGGGAAAAAACTGAATGTCTTTTACAAAATAATGCTAATATCAAAACCTGTAAAACTACAGCTAAACCTGTAATTACATTTATTACTTTTCCGCAAAATGCTTGAGACTTGAGAACATATGTGATATACTTGTGATTTTTCAAAATAATGTTGATAGCATATAGTATATATGTAGTATGTGCAGTAAAACCTCTTTATAACGTACCCTCTGTTAGCTGAAATCCTCCTTATAACGGAAAATGTCAATAGTCCCGATTCAAATAATATATGAAATTGACCTCTTTAAGACGGAATCTCTACAAAACGGAAACGGAAAATGTTCGTAATCCAATTAATAAAAATACTCTCTGTTAAACGGAAAATAGAATTATTTAAAGATAAATTACATTTACATAAGTATAAACTATATGTATAAAATATATTTATATATATATATATATATGTGTTTGGTAACTAGATAATCTAAACTTTATCAATATCTGAGATATCATTCGACGGTATCGTTTCATGATTGTCATACTAATTTGTTTATTATTAAAAATTAGATATGTATGTATTTTTGTTAATATGAACTGCCCAGTCGTCTTTTTTCTGTCGAAATGTTCATATCATTTAGTAAACGTGCAGTGCTTACCCTCTGTTTTATCGTTGTTATTTCGTTAATATGCTACGTACAGCTCTGACTTTGTCCGATAAAGTTAAACTAATCGAGTTGAAAGAGACACAAAAACTAAGTACGAAGGAACTTATTACTAAATTTAAATGTGGAAAAACTCAAGTTTACGACGCGATAAAAAATAAAGAAAAGATTATAGATGAATGGGTGAATAGCAAAAACTCGGGAAAGAGTAAAAGAGTGAAAACTCCTTCATATGAACAAATTGACCCTAGAGTTGTATGAGTGGTTTGTCAGCATTCGGTCAAAAAATTTGCTAATTTCCGGTCCAATTATACAAACAGAAGCTATGAAATTGGCTGAAAAAATGAATGTCAAATATTTCAAGGCTTCGAACAGTTGGCTAGAAAAATTTATAAAGAGGCATGACATTGTTTGGAAACAAGTTAGTGGTGAGGCTAATGATGTTAATCAAGAAATTGTGGTGGAGTAGAAGCAAAAATTATCAAGACTCATTGCTGGATATGAAGCAAAAGACGTGTACAATGCTGACGAAACGGGTCTTCTTTTCAGAGGTATTCCTACTAAGTCACTAGTACTGAAAAGTGAGTCTTGTTCTGAAGGGAAAAAAGCAAAGGATCGCATAACAGTGCTCATGTGCGGTAGTATGGCTGAAGAAATTAGGAAGCCATTGGTAATTGGCAAGCCTAAAAAACTACGGTGTTTTAAGAACATGGGCATTTCTTCATTACCTGTCATATGGAAATTTAATAAAAAAGCCTGGAAGACAACAGAGATAATGGAGCAGTGGTTGCGTTATTTTAACGCAGATATGCGATCTCAGAATAGAAACGTCCTAATATTCTTAGATAATGCTGCATGTCGCCCAAAGATCGAGCTATCTAATACGAAAATGTTTATGCTGCCCCCAAATACCACATCGATTACCCAACTAATGGATCAAGGAGTGATTTACACGTTCAAGTCTTACTATTGTAAGTTTTTGCTACAATCGTTATTATGCATGATGGATAATTGTTCTTCAGCTCATCTGTTCCCTAAATCGATAAGTATTTTGGATGCTGTCAACTGGATAGCGTTGGCTTGCGATAATGTAAAGGCTGAATGCGGCAAAATTGTTTTCGTAAAACCTAGTTCTTTCAAATGATGGAACCAATACCAATGGTATAGATTTACCAGAAAATGCTTTGAAAAATATTAATGAGGAATGCGTTATAGCCAATGTTGATGTAGAAGATTTTTAGAAGTAAAAAACGATTATAATGATAATAGTGAGACCAACGATGAGCCAAAAATAAAAGATTTTAAAACTACAATCTTAGAAGAATTACAAAAGTTTTCAGCCACCATTTCAAATTCAAATCTATTAGAACTCACTACAAAAGCCCGATAATGTACTGAACGTGCTGCTCTTAAACACAAAAAACAATCAAATATTAAAAACTATTTTTCTTAATTATAAAAAAGGTACAAATATTACTTTTATTTTTTTTAATATTATACACAAAACAAATTTAAATATTAAGTCATATATAATATCTTATTGTATAAATTTACGTTTTACGAGGTATTTACCTGAAATATAATTTTTTTAACACATAGGTACACATACATACATTCTTAAACACTTTTTTTTTTACTTTTTTAAGACGGAAAACTTTTTAAAATGGAAAAATTGTTGGTCCCAAGCGATTCCGTTATAAAGAGGTTTTACTGTATACCCTAAGGGGAACACCATTGTATATATGTATGTATGTATGTATGTATACATGTACACGTAGTGATTAAACGACATGTCGTATTTTTGTCGTTATCCTTTCTGTCTCCGGTCACATATATACCTATATAATATATATCGTAAAATAAATTAATAAGTTACACGCAATTTTAGTGCCCCCCCCCCCCCCGTTTTATGTGGACGGGCACAAATCTAATAGATATTTAACATAATTTTATTGCAAACACGTTTTTATTGTCATTTAATGCATTTCAATATTTTCAATAGCAAATATTTATATTAGACGTATACATGTACATCTAATTTTTATCATTTCCATCGTATACACATTATGGCACTGTACAGTATCATGCTTGGGCTTAGCCCCCCAAATATTTTAATAGTACTCCCAAAATCGAAATTTTGTTATAAATTTCGTAAAATAAGGAATGATAAAAAACTATTTACAATACCAATTAGGTCGGCTACTTGAGAAAGAAGTTTCAGTGCAAATTGGCTAAGGACATCGTTGGTTCAAGATAGGTTCAGCGATTTTTCAATACTATATATCGAAAAAATATATATATATATATATATATATATATATATATATATATATATATATAAAGCGATGATATTTTGAATATCTTTGCTGATACAAATAGATATTTGTCATTAAAATAAAATATTGATTATTTTTAAATATATTTTATTTTGTGTTTTTTTAACACAATTTAAACATATCTATATTTTTAACAGTAATAAGTTTTAGTTGTGCATGGAAAGAGGGTATTGGGGCGAAGCTCTTGCGGGTTATTTTACTCTGAATTATTATAGCATGAATTATTGAACCGGACCAAACCGACGATTCAATAGTTTTTGTATGTTAGGACCGTTCTAGACCGGACCATGTAGAGCACTATCAGCGCGTAAACGTACCCGTGGCATCATCGGTGGCAAACACTTTTCTAGCGCAACTGTTGCACGCGGCAGCTTTTACATTTCTCCGGGCGACATTTAGGCACGTTTGGTTAGGTTCGGAAACGGACATCCGTAAAAATCGGTTCACGATCGCTGCCGATGGATGACACACGCACCGGACGGCCTCGAGAATTTCAAGACGAACAATGCGAATGCGTATCATGATCGCGCGCGCTGTAGCGATGATAAACGCGCGACTACGAATCGTCTTTTGGCCACGAGCTACGTTATCAATGCGCGATGTCGTCGTTTTTACAACGACCCACACGTCCTCGAAGGGGTTAGATTACGGCTCGCGTTGTCCCGGCACGACTCGTACGCATCGTAATGAAAATACAGTCATTTCAATTTGCGAGACACTCGAACACGACTGCACCGTGAGTAGGGTTCGCCCCGATCATCGAGATAACCCAATCGCAAACCCCTTATACGCATACATGTATATGTACACACGTATTATGTACACGAAACCCTTTGTCCTTATATTCTATTCGTGGCCGTTACGGCACGAGGTGCATTATTTTAATCATTCTAACGGTGTACAAATATTGAAATATACGACCTGCGATTCTATAGGACATGTGCGTACCGTTGTTTGTTTTCGCGAGCATTGGACGGAAGACGTCAAGTGTTCGTATAATACGATATCGATATGGATCTTGAGTGCTTCCCTGGAGAGACCGTCCCCGGCGGATATGTACATAAACATCATGGCGAACGTGCGCAGTGTAGCCGGACGACGTAAACATAGTTTTCCAGAAACGAGACGACAATTAATATTCAGATCGTAGCGCATCGCATTTAAACGACGTTTGTTTATCGCGAACCTAAAGAGATGATCGAATGTGTTTGCACATGCGGATCAAAGTGAATGACCACTTGTCGGTACGATCGATGGCTTTCAAATGTTTCCATAAAGACCATCGCCCATGGTTTTTGAAGACGCGACTCGCCGTTAAATGTTTAAATATCTTGACGACCATGCCCGAATAATGTTTCCTCTTCAAAGAGAGGATTCCTCAAATGTGAAAGATAATCATATTGGTTGAAGTAACTACCGATGGAATGCGAACGGTTCGAATAAAGATCACCAGACATAATTGTTGTGGCTGCAATACGATTGCGCGCGGTCCTTATCAACGGTACCTATTTAGGTGTACGATTGCGCGTGCTAAATTATTTTTGCTTCTAAGCAACGTTGCCAAATATACAGATTATAGGTGCATGGTAAATATCCGATTAGATTCCGATTGTGGTGATCCGTACATTACTTATTACTTAATATCGCCGATACCAGACAAACTTTCCATCACTAAGAAGTAGATAATTTTATTTAGATCATACTTTTATCTTTATTGTAAATTCCCTCACATGTACAAATATACCTAAACTATGATCTCGCATTGTATGTCTATACGTATTTACTGAAATGTCAGTTGTGTTCGTGTTCCTGTTTTAGCTGTCAACGTATATTTTTCGCGTTGTTAACAATTTATAATTAATTTTTTTAAATGGAAAATAAAATTTTCATATGATAATAAGTTCAGAAAGGGGGAGTGATTTGTTAGTGGTGAAGAAACACAAATTTCGACACATCAGACAGCGGGCAGATGAAAATAACAGATGGAGGTGCTGTAAAAAACAGTGTACTTGTACAGTCTTAATGACAAGTGACAATAAAACAATGATAGAAATTGCTGGTGAGCATAACCACCTTGTAGATTCTACTCAAAAATCGAAAGGCAAGTTCTAAGGGAAAACTGTAAACGTAAAGCTACAAGTTCCATAGCTACCCGGCCAATAAAAATAATTAGTAGTCAACTTATAAATAGCGTGAGTACCGAGTTAGAATATAATGATATAAAATCAGTTAGAAAGGCTATGTATATTCAACGAAGAAAAAACTTTCCTCCTTACCCTTCATCTTAAGAAAATGCCATTACGCAACTGAACGAATTACAAAATGAAGATTTTTTAATGTTTAGAGGGAAAAAATTTATACATTTACCCAATGATTGCACTTTTATTTGCTTAACAACTGAAGAGAATCTTCAATGTTTGACAAGTTGCACAGTTATATTTTCGGACGGAACATTCGACTATGCTCCAAAATTTTTTTTGCAATTATACACCATTCATGGCTATAAAAACGGTGTTTACGTACCTTTGGTATACTTTTTTTTTAAAGGATAAATTTAAAAAATTTAAATATTTAATTAATATATGTGAAAAACAATCACTACTTTTTAAAATTGAAATATTACACATTGATTTTGAAATTGGTGCTATTCAAGCAACAAAAGGAGTTTTTCCTGATGTCAAAATTAAAACATGCCGTTTTCACTTAGGACAAGCTTGGTGGCGCAAAGTAAGTTGAATCAATATGAATATTTTTAGAAATAATTAATCAAAATCAATTTTCAGATTAATGGCAATACAAAGCTAAGAATGGCATACAGCGATCAAAAGAACGATTTAAAATTATGGCTTAAATCATTTTTTGGACTTTCTTTCATCGCTCCAGATGACGTGGAGGATGCTTTTGTAAAGCTTATAAGTACGTGTCCAAATATTACAGATGGACAATTTTTTCTGACTATGTTTTAGAGACGTATGTTGAACCTGGTTGTTTATTTCCACCTATTTTGTGGGCTGAAACGCCATCACTAAATCCTAGATATATATTTACTAATAAGTCAAAAAAAAATATTGTTTACTATATTCATACATTTCAGAACTAAAAACGGGGCTGAAAGTTTCCATAGAACATATAACTCCCAGTTTACTAGTGCTCATCCTCCGACATCTGTTGTTATAAGTACGCTTATGGAAACTCAGGCAGAAACCGTCACTAAATTATCAACCATTTCCAAAGGAAAAATCAAGCCAAAATCAAATGAAAAACTAAAAATAATCGAATTTGTGAGTAAACAATACGATCAATATCTAAAAAATAAAACACCAGAAAACTTATTTAAGTATTTAGCCATAATTGGAAATAGGTATCAGGGCTTTAAAATTTAAATTTTTTTCGATATCTATTCGAATATTTTATATTATTTTATTACAACAATTTTTTTATTGAATTAGACTGAGTGTGAATATAAAGTATCTGTTATTTTTTGTAACTATTTGTACTATTTAACCTAACAACATATACGACAAATAACAAATTTTTTTTTTAATTTTTTTTAATAATAATAATTATTTTAAATTTTAATAATAAATTGGCAACGTCGCATCCAATTTCACGCGCAATTGTACGCTTTTGAATAGTCAAAAGCGTGTTCTTTGTTATTCCGGCACCCCGCGCAATCGTATGCCCAAAAAGGTAAAACGCGCGCAATCGTACTCCACCGAATTGTTGTAGGAGAATATTAGTTTAAACAGATGTTTAACGGTATTGACGTAGAACAATAATAATTACACGAAAACATCATTGTCACTGT